ATGTGGTAACTGCTCCTTACGGTCCTTACTGGACACCTGATTCTCGTAATAGCTCGTAGTTTAATGAATAGCTTGATGGTTGTGAGTAGTACCCTTCAATTGTAAGTGGTATAGCCTAAGTGATGTCAACTAAGGAGTGACAAAAGAATATATGGTTTTCCTGATAATGCGTTGGCATAAGCCTCATTCAATAAGCCAGGGGAATACTGGTTCGGGCAAGATTTAGCCACTGTTTGCAACTACTAGCTAAATTGCGTTCTGGATTTTTGAGGTTGCACTTTCAAGATAGACGAACAAACGAACGCCTATTTGTCGGCACTTGAAGTGCTAGGCTCGGTTTATCTTTCTTAAAATCTTCGATTCTAGTGGGCGCCCCGAATACTCTGTATTGGATGGCTGTTAACGGTTTTGGGTGGGTGCTTGTTTGAAATCTGGCATTAAATGCACGAAGACAGGCTTGTCGAAGTACATTCGAACAGTTTACTTTCAGTGTCCAAACCTGAAGATCATATAAAGAAAATCATGCAGACTAAATTACTCAATACACTCCTTAATAAGCCAGGATTTCAAACGTGTGCAATTGCATGACAGGCAAAAGCCCTTGTAAATATACTTATTAATATGCAATAAAATTAGCATTTCTTATTTTTAACTGAAACAGACTCCAGCCGAAATTTAAAATCTGCTTTAATACACCAATGCAAATGCCTGTAGAATATAAATGTCCGGTTAAAAAGCCGACTGAAATGTTGTAAGGAGTGTCGTTACGTCATACATACATTAAACAGGCACCCACCAAATGAGCGCTCATTTGAGAAACTTTTGGATATCATGGAGGCTTTAGTAGTCATTTAAAGGAACAAAATCGAACGCTCTGCGTGGTGCAGCAGACAGACTAAGATCCACGAGTTGGAGAGGAAAAACTGGAACTAATGCAATAATGTAGAGAAAAGCTTTTACAAAAAATGAGTGGCTGACTCGAATACACCAACTATTTAAGAAAAAAAGTAACCTACTGTCTAGCGCGTTTGACTTTTCGCAAGCAGTGTGATAAAAGTTTACTTGTCAGATTGGTGAGCATTGCCACACTTACCAAAAGTCATCTGTAAAAAGTCCACGGCTGCAGTCGCTGCTACTTTTAAACTGAAGAAATCTCCAATAATGCGGTCTCGTGATCCAATACATATTAATTCAAGAAGACCTGTTAAAGTCTTAGGATAAACTTGTTAGTTTGTCTATCTCATTTACCGTTTTAAGTGACCTCAGATTGTTCTTTGTGCCCAGTTGTAGGAGCGGACTTATTCTCCAGCAGTGCACAAATCCAGGAAAGTTTTTGCTGTCCATATAAAACGTTCCGGTACTTCGAATCTGTTGGAACTGCATTCGGTTCAGTCGTTGTTTATTGTTTTCATCGCCTTTCGCCAAGACTTCACATTCATCGAAATCCTGTGCCGGAAAAATATTTTTTAACTCGGGATGATCGGAAAAACTGTCCGTTTGCAAAGTACTTGGGGGAAGTTTGATATCCCATTCAGTCCATGTGAAAAGAGTCTTCCCGGCAAGCTAAAATTATAGGGAAATACTAGTACGACTTACGGACGAGATGCTCGTTAAGCACTCACTGCATTCTTGTGATGGATGTGGCAGTGTAGGGGTAGAAATAATTGGAGCTTTCTAAAGAAAAGCTAGCTTTGAAAGTTAGTGATTACTTTTGGCCTTGATACGACACATAAAAGTGGGCTTAATAGATCATTCATTTGACTTGAAAAAATAGTCACTTCATCTGCAGTGTTCAATACGGGTCGCCTAAAATTGTGACAGACGGCACATTATACCAAATCTTGGGAAAAGTTTAAAATAAACAACTCAGGTAATGCTCCTGGCTGGGTGAAGATACCATTACAGATGGCAGAATGTTTGGGTAAGTTAGAATAATTTTTGGCTATTTGCAAACAAACCTCTAAATATATCGAACTATCAGGTGACAGATAACAGCCGGCACGTTTGCACTGTAATTAAAATCAAGCAATATTCAATATCTGCCGGCAGAGTGCTATTTATTTTCTACCCTGATTGCATATCTGGCGTTTATTTTCACTCTGATAATCAGGATAATTTGGTAGATAATGATGGGATAGTTTGTATATATAAGCCGGCATGACCAAAAGCCATGCCTTTGTAAGACGAACATTTAATTTTGTAAATAACCAATGTTTTGACCACTGCATTAGGTCATTGCCGACAAACTACATAAGTAGCCAAGTCGCGATCTCAAATGCAACACACACTTTCAGAAGGACTGGTCAAAATGCGACCTCTAAATTCGGTTTATTTAATCTTTAGTAATGGTTAAGGGTGAAATCAAGGTTACAGACCTCATCAGGAATGGCCAGAATGTCAGGATTTGGAATATTTTTACTGGGAGGTTCTGCGTTTCTGGCAATGTCAGTGTGTGTGACGGAAAACTGGACCACCAGTGAGAACCACGCGAGGAAGTCCCTCAACCCCAACTCAGCTGCTCCCAAAGATTACTAGAGCTAAGGTTACAGAGCGCAATCCAAGGCACAGAATTACTCGAATGGATTGGAATCCTTGCCGTCCACGTTTTAGCAATATAATTCCATTTACGATGGAGCTGCTAAGTCGTAAGTTTAAACCACGAAGGTTTACAAAGTACCTATTCCATGGTGATGTCGCAACGGGGGCTCAACGACAAAGGAACAAAAACGACGTTACGAGGACAAGGATGTTTATAGATCATCCCAGATGTTGCTAAATTGTATGAAGAAATGACTGTTTTTTGCGTAGCCAATCAGATTTTTAATTCATCCCAGCATGGTCTTTTTCCAGACCATCTGTGAAAAGTGTCTCATGAATTTTTTCTGACTACTCACTTATCTTCACAATGGTCATCTGTTCGTAGTCGTTGTCTTTTCGATCTTAGCGCATCCTTCGATAATGTACGACAAAGACGGATTCAGGGTCCTCTTATTGACTTTATGAAGTCCCGCCTATCTAATAGGAAACAAAATGTCCTAGTGGATTCATATTTTCTAATGGTCGCCCTTTTCGCAAACGGAGCCCTACGACGCACCGTTTCAGGTCATCTTTTGTTTTTCCTTTACATTATCTGTACTTCATCGGCAGTTAAAAAGGTAACGATAGTCTGTAGGACCTCGAGCATGCGCGCATTGAGTGACTGCCTACTTGACTTGTTTAAGTCGTCGTTGGTTTTTGAGTACTGCTCTAGACATGGAGTTTGCTTTCGGCCGAGCTACCTTGAAGCACACATTTTGCATGTGGATTTCAATATCTTATTTGTTTACTTAGTTGTTTCAGCCCTTTGCAGGCGTTACCCCTTCGGTTTACCATTATCGCGCATGGGCTAAAGTCAGCGAGTTAAGAAGTTGTCCTGTCCCTTTAGTCCTCCATGCCAGACGTCTCAATTCAATTCAAAATTACCTTCTATGACTTATGCTCAGAGAGTTCAGAAGCGATGCTAGCGCTTCGGTCCTCCGCCGCGGACGTCACGATTCACTTTACCATTACTTCCCATAACCTTAGTTCAGAGGGTTTAGAAGTGATCTATTGCTTCCGTCCTCCATCGCAGACGTTACTCCCCATCTTGCCATTATCGACCATAACCTAAGCTCAGACAGTTGAGAAGTGATCGTAGCATGGTTGTTCCCTACTGTTATCGAGGCGAATGTGGATACTACCCTGCACTCCGCAGTTTCTTGACTTGAACTTTGCTCAGAGAGTCTAGAAGAGAACCTACCATTACAGCTACCACCATGTACCGCGCCGAGTGCAGACACTTCCCTGCATTGATCATTTATGTAACCGTGACCAATGTTAAAGCTATGATAAGGCACTAATATACAAGCATTCATTCACAGTGCGGCCACAATCCGTTCACACTAATATTTGTTTACTTCGGACATATCGACAATGTACTTTTGGCGGTTAATGAACGTTTCGTCAACTTTCACTTCCACTCCGGCACACCCAATCTGATTAGTTTTCCTCTAGATGGCCGACGTACCAACAAAATGCATACAATTCGACGGCCGTCGTGTGACCCACCCTAACATCTTCTTCGCACTAAGGGACCCTTGTTTCCCGCAAAAATACTAGCCAAGGCTTCATAATCGTTACCATTCCTAATCGTCTTCTCTCAAACACCGAGCCCGTTTTAAGTCCTTTCTTCTTTCTGCATCATGCACATTTAAATACCTAGCCATCCTTGCTCCGCTTCCGGATTTGCAGCCGCATTTTGTGTCTGCCTTGGCCAAAGCGGTCATGATGGCGTCCGCTACCCATTCTTATCACCGTTCCCGTAGGCATAGTCTATTGGTTACTAGTTTACTTTCGAGGTCCTACAGCCTATCGTTTCTGTTAGGTACTCTTTATTTATGCCGATCGTTTTAAATCTCCAAGCCTACGTCATGACGTGTATTTTGCCCATGAAATGTCATATTGAAATTAAGTTAACATTTTATCGAATATCGGTCCTTCTAATTCTCAAATGCTGCTGCACATTCTTTGGTTTAAGGAATGAGGTTAGTAGCCCTTAAATGAGCAATGTTCAAGCACATTCTGCTAGAAAACTCTGTGGTTCGACACAGCCAAATTCTTTTTGCTCAAAAAGATGTCAGCTAAATTTCCTAAAACGCCTTTGTGTTTGAAGTCTTGTTTAATTCTTATTTGGATGTCATCCCTTATACTTCTTAGTCACACACACACACACACACACACACACACACACACACACACA